TGTTTTACACTACAGTGGTACCTCGGGATGCGAACGGGATCCGTTCCAAAGCCCCATTCGCATCCCGAACGGAACACAAGATGCAACGGCGCGTCTGCACGTGCGTGGGTCGCGTTTCACCGCTTCCGCGTGTGCGCGTGATGTCATTTTGAGCGCATGTGCGAGCGGCGAAACCCGGAAGTAACGCACTCCATTACTTCCGGGTTGCCACAGAGTGCAACTCAAACATGCTCAACCCGAAGCACATTCAACTCGAGGTACAACTGTAATGAGTTAGAAAGAGCAGTAACTCTTCTCTTTGCCACTACTTATTCAGTGCCTGGCGAGCGTGAGCAGACCCCTGGTGCTCAGTCCCATCTACCAAATCTGCGTGACGGGGTGAACTCCTGTTGCTTTGTCGCAGCTTCTGCCAACCTAGCAGTTTGGAAGCACACCAGTGCAAGTAGATAAATAGCTACCGCTGTGGCGGGAAGTTAAATGGCGTTTCCGTGCACTCTGGTTTCCATCACAGTGTCCCGTTGCGCCAGATGCGATTTAGTCATGCTGGCCACATGACCAATAAAGCTGTCTGTGGCAAACACCGGCTCCCTTGGGCTGAAGCTAAATGAGCGCCGCACCCCATTTGACTGGACTTAACCATCCGTGGGTCCTTTACCTTACCTTTACCTACATTAGCATCTTGGATTACTCTGTTGGTTTATATGAGCTGCTCTCAGTGTTTTACACTTCAAGGTATACACTTCGGTATAGCTAAAAATCACTTCTCAGTTTGAACCAGGAAGTGGCCTATCTAGTCAATGTTCCTTTCTACACTTTGTGTGACTATTCCAACCACTCCTTCCACTCATTTATCAGGTTTTTCCTCCCACCCACTTCCACTTCAGTCTCTCAATATTCAGTGCTACTGAATTATTATGGGCCTGGTTTTTAGAGGAGGGGGGGTCCTCCTCTTTGGTGTTTTTTGGTAGTTTTTTGTACTTGTGCATACCTCAAAGCTTTGAACTTCAAGGTTACTGTGAATCTGCTTGTACCTCTTTTGTAGGTGAGTTTCAGTTTTGGCTATATCATCCTGAGTATAAGACTGGAACTGATATTAGTATATAAACACAATAAAATATTTGTATTAAAATAATGTGACTATAGTTAGTTACAAGTAAGCCCATTTTGAAGCCAATGAGATGAAACACCACAGACAAATTCTTGCTTTCAGGGTTTAATATCGGATTAGAGCTCTGTATTCGATTCTATGTTCAACCCTGGAACATGTGAAAAATGCCCCGGTATATCTGAACCTGTGCAGAGCGAATTTTCTTCACCCTGAATCACAATTCATCAGAATTACGAAGTTTCCAGATAAGAGGCTAATAATTCCTAGCAGATTTGAATCCTTGGATTTCTTTTTCTAGAAATTTAAGAACTGCTTTGCCTTCCACTTACTTCAGTGCAATATGTATCCTGATCCTATTCTTACTTGGACTTTGCTATTTAATACATGTATTTACAATTACAGACTAAGTCACAACTAATTTACATGTGATTATACTCACTGTTGGCAACTGAATTTACTATAAATATGTTCTCTTAAAAACTATGCCACAAGAAAGCTGTGCACATCTTCCAAGTAAATTTTGTATGCTTAACCCATGCATTTGAATTATTAGTTTGGTTTCTGTGTTGTTCCTTTTAAAATTGCAGATGAATTCCATGTATATTCATAATCAAAACATGCCCTGAATAGTTATCTGTACTACAGTTTCATTTCTTCAGTCTCTGCTTTTCTGCTGAGTCAATTTAACTAACTAAAATAAGCAGGAGAGGCATTTAACCCTGTGACTGTTCAATCTATATTTATTACATACATTAAGGGGTTCTTTCTTTTTAGATGCTGAATGTGTAATTTCCTGCTTCTTATTTGCACTGTTTTGCAGTAGGCATTCTGTCTCACTATGTTTGTATGCATTGAAGTGTGTTTGCTTGCAAACACGCACACACAAACAAATAAGGCTTTTTTGCTAACCCCCGGTCAAATGTAGAATATTTTCTTTTCTTTATGGAATGTAGTTTAATTCTATAAATCTTTCCCAAACAGTGAAGACAGAAACCATATATCCAGTATATTGCTGCCATTGAATATTATTTGAATCTCCAGAACAAGCTGCTTTTTTCTGGAAAGCAAGAAATCCTCTGACTCTAGTCAAACCAAGTTCTAAAAAAGATCGTCTCTTACATTTGCCTAATACCATGATTACCTCACTTTAAGTCCCTCATTACCTGTTTAGTTTAATAAAATACAATTTCAGGAATACTGGGTCAGAAACAACTAGTAACTTATTGGTTGTTGTCAGAGGGGAGCACCAGTAATTAGTTACATTTTCTAGGCTACCTTTCTCAAATGATTAGTGGGAAATACCGTAAATAATAGCCACACCTACCTGGTGTCAGTGATCCAACTAACAGAAGAGGGTAAGACCCAGGTACCTGATCATTTCAGTCTTATGTACACTGATAATAGTACAGTCATACCCTGGATCCCGAACACCTTGCAACTCGAACGTTTTGGCTCCTGAACGCCGCAAACCTGGAAGTGAGTGTTCCGGTTTGCGAATGTTCTTTGGAACCCAAACATCTGACATGGTTTCCGCGGTTTTTGATTGGCTGCAGGAGCTTCCTGCAACCAGTTGAAAGTCGTGCCTTGGTTTCCAAACGTTTTGGAAGTCGAATGGACTTCTGGAACGGATTCCATTCAACTTGCAAGGTACCACTGTATAGGTAAGGGGGGAAAGATCCTGTATAAAGGCTTTCATAATTTCTATGTGTATAGATTGCCAAATTCATACTGCCCAATTATGTTGCAGTCAAGTAATAAGCTGTCTGTCTTCAACACTTGTTTAAATGGATTCCCTCCCCCCCAATTGTGTGTAAGTGTAGTATTGTCATACATGAATAGAAAGCTATCATTTTGAAATGTTCCGTGAGCAGTATGAATACTTTCCTTTACTACATTTACAGTTGCTAGCACTATTCAAGATGTTTGTCTTCTGGGCCTTCGCATGTCCGTGCAGCATTTATTCCTGGAGGAGGGAGGAAAAGAAATTGAAATTTTAATGCTAAGTGGCTTAAGCTTAAAAGCACACACATGCTCCTATTTTTACATTGCTAAAACCCTGACACTACTGTCTGCAGTCCAACTTCAAACACTTTTCAAGGTTAAAAGGCTTGACAGAAAGTAGACTTGGTCTGAAAGTGACATTCTTAGCTGAAGCAAGCACTTTGTGCCTACTAACAGTGCTAGCTAAAAAAATATATTGTAAAATCTCCATAGACAATTATGCAAATTACTTCTGCTGTTTATCATATTTGACAAGTCACAGATAATAGGAAGATGGTTGAACTTTATTTCTAGTCAATACTATTAAATACTTGTGAAACGCCTGTCACGAGAAGCAGTTAGGTATATGGAGGGAGTACCTACATGTGGCGGAAACTCCTGAAATGTATTTTATTTAAATTTTACCTAAACATTGGCATTTAAAATAAAATCGGGCTTTTCTTTTTTAAAGTACTAATCTGGAAAAGAAGCTTCCAGTAAACAGACCCTAGAAATACTTGCACAGGTCCTTTGCATTGCCTCTTTCAGCCATATGTAGCCTCGCACACATCCTAGCACATACAATTCCATTGACACCTTTCTTCCAATTCCTGTTGTGTATTATATACTCTGGCCTTTAGAGTTGCTGTCCAGCATCACTGACAACATGTGTACGGACATCATTTTATTTGTATGCTGCCTTTCCACACTTCAAACAATGCTCAAGGCGGCTTACAACATGAAAAAATACATAACAACAACATAACAAAAGTAGTCATAAAACAAAAAACAAAACGCTTAAAAATAGACAGCCAAACTGAATATTTTCCACATAAATCACAAGATCTGAAATAGATACAAAAGAACCAACATCAACAGCAGCAACAATCCCCCTGCCAACTTCTTCTTCTTTCTTTGGCGATCACTTGTAGCTGAGTAAGATTGTCTTCCGTAAACACAGTTTTAACAACAACTCCCCACCCCAAGAGTCCATGCAGCAGCCTAAGCTTTTCTGGCTGTAGTGTCAAGGCCCCACCAGGCCAGGTGGGGAAAGGTCTGCAGGGCAGGGAGCAGGTCTGCCAGGACTCACAGCCAAGATGGGAACATAAAGAGCTACCTTGGACTAGTGCTCTGACTCTGTCTATCCGGCTACATTGACTGGAAGCAGCTCTCCAGATTTTCAGGCAGAGGTTTTCCCCAGCTCTTCCTGGAATGTTTTGTATCCAAAGCATGAGCTCTGTCATTAAGCTATAGCCCCTTTCCCACAGAGAAGTCTCAAGCCCAAAACAGTGCTTCAAAAAAACAGGCTCACACCATTCATCCAGTTGGTAAAACTTGATAGTAAAAAAGGCAGTATCAAGTCCAGGAGCCTTCTCTGGTCCTGGGATGTGGGGGAAAGAGTTTGTGGCTATACAGTTGAAGGTGCTGAAGCATCACCTGTTTTGTCTTAGGCTTGGTGAATTGGACCTGAAACAGTGGGAGATGTTTGGTGCCTGGTGCCTTGCTGTCAGTTCAGAGACTAATCTGTAGTAGTTTGTGTATCTATGCTGTGTGTCTCTGGGTGTAGCATTCTCCCTTTTCTCATCCACCTTGACAGGATGGAAGCCACCTCTTGAGATATAAGGCAGCACTCTGGGCTGGTTTCCCAGTGAAGTGTAGCACACATAGCAGACAATGGTCTGTAAAATAAAATAAAAACATATTGTGCACACATCTTGAGTGTGCTCTAGAAGATAGTTGAAGGACATACTACTTATGCTTAAGCATGTCCTTTTGTTTTATTTCAGTTTCTGCCCTACCTTCCAACCCAGAGAGGTCTTCTAGACAGCTTACATATAATAATAAATGAATCTCAACTGCTTACATTCCTTTGTGATGACCTATCCAGCCTTAATTCCCCACTTCTCATTAGGTCCCTGTGACTCTTTTCAGCCCTTCTCATTCCCCTGGTTGCTGACATTGAAGTGGTAGTTGCCTGGCTACAAGGTCCTTATATCCTGATCCATGGTGATGTCCACCCCAAGGGATGGTGATGGCCCAAGCAAGATGGAAATCGGTAGGCCCAGAGTTGTGGAAAAGATAGGAAGGTAAGGCAAGGAGCAGCCAGGCCTTTGTACAAACACCAAGGGGCTGGGGCTGGACTGTGCTCAGCGGTCCTACAGCTGAGGCCCAAAACACAAGTTGTCTCAGTGCATCTTGGAGCAACTGCACTAGGTAGTCATGGTAGAAACCCTGCCTCTGATTCCTGTATGTGGCCAGTTAAAGAATTACTCCCTTTTTCTGCAGCTGGTGACTTTTTTTTCTAATATAAGCAGTGGGATTTCACACTACCTTGAAGAGAGCTTGTTGGGGCTTTCCTGGTCCTCCAATGAGTCTGCAGTCCATTCAGCTGCATGGCAGAAGTTTCTCCTTGGGGTTCGGGGAGTATGTGGAACTGCTGGCCCTAGAGCCTAAAAGGCTGCTTTTGTGGGAGTCTTCTGCAACTGAGGATTCCTGGTTCGGGACCATGACACCTCCTCACATTCCCTCCAGGACTGCAGGACTTTTCACCTTCTTCCTTAGTACTTCAGTGTACTAGTCCTGTGTAAAGGTAAAGGTAAAGGTACCCCTGCCCGTACGGGCCAGTCTTGACAGACTCTGGGGTTGTGCGCCCATCTCACTCAAGAGGCCGGGGGCCAGCGCTGTCCGGAGACACTTCCGGGTCACGTGGCCAGCGTGACAAAGCTGCATCTGGCTAGCCAGCGCAGCACACGGAACGCCGTTTACCTTCCCGCTGGTAAGCGGTACCTATTTATCTACTTGCACTTTGACATGCTTTCGAACTGCTAGGTTGGCAGGCGCTGGGACCGAGCAGTGGGAGCGCACCCCGCCGCGGGGATTCGAACCGCCGACCTTTCGATTGGCAAGCCCTAGGCGCTGAGGCTTTTACCCACAGCGCCACCCGCGTCCCCGCGTCTCCTGTGTAGGGAGAGGTAAAAAGCAAGGTTTAAAGGGTAAATAGAATCAGCACTCGTAACCTGAAATATGCACACAGCAATTACATGCAGCAAGCTGTGGTTAATGTGTTTTACCTGCATCTGTTGCAGAAACTATATCTCTTGAAATGATCCAGTGCATGTGTTTGTTTTAATATATATTAAAAACTAGTTGCTTATTTGCTGACTAATGAGTAAAAATCATCGATCTATGCATATGTAATATGGGGATAGTATCTGATTTCTGGCAAAGACTTAGGCCTGTGCACAACTTGTGCTATCTGTCCTGTAAGCCCTGTTGGTTGCTTCAGCACAGGGAGAAGTGTGATGTTTTTCACGTACGTAATCAGAAATTCAATGAATGCTCAAAGTTTCTGTAGACTAGTGTTTCTATTTTGAGATTGTAATGGAATAAATTGTTGCAGAATTAATTAGATTAGGATTACAATGTGTTAACGTACAAGTTGCATAAATACTTTCATGCAAAGCAATGAATAAATGTAGGAATTCCCTTTGAAAGTGTAAAAGAAGAGGCCAATATTCATCCAAGCTGCCTAATATAATCTTTATTCCTGTCTTTTCTCTTGAATTCTTAAGCATTCTCACATGTTTCAGTTTTAATCTCCCTCTCTCTATCTCTCAATACAGCCAAGATTCAAACAGCTTCTGTAGGCATTCTTGAATACATGTTTGACTTCTTACCTTTAAACACTAGAATTATGTGATACCACAAACTGCTTTTGAAACTCAACTGTGGTTCGTGAGGAGGTGCTAGGTGTGGGGGGAAACACAAATACTAGGTTGTGCAGAGCTTTGGACCCTGTTCCACCTTTTGTGTTTCCTTAAAGTTTTTACTAAAATTTATTTAAGAGTTGCACTGTTGTCTTCTGCAGTGCACCAATCAGAGCAAATAGATAACAGACATTACTTTCATTTTAATGGTAATATTACTTAGCTGCTTGTGTTTTGTCCCCCATCAGGTATTCCTATTGGAGCTGTATCATCATGAGAGAATCACAAGAAGAGTCCAGGAGTTCCTTGGACAATGAATGGAAGAAGACAAGGAAACAAAAAGAATGTGGCATATAAAAAGGATTTAATACCTGGAGTTCTTGGCCGTGACAAATCTTCAAAAATGGGACTTATTCTCTCAAAATACAAATTACCTTTGGCAGTCATCAAGCTTGGAGTCATGCTATTGAACTAGAAGTAAATGTTTTCAATCTCTTCTTGGCCAGTAACAGAGCATTAATGGATTATGATTTTCCCAAGTTGGAAACATTCATTTTTCCCATTTAGGATATCCTTATGGCTACATAAGGAATAAAACATTTCATACTTAATATTGATCAGAATGGGCAACTGACTTGTCAACAACAAAAATGGCAGATTTTATCGACTGAGCCAGAGCTTCCCAATGCATTTTGTACAAACTGGGAATCGCTGTGCTGTGCAGCCGCCTTCTGGAGGCCATGATGACATATAGACTAAGGATATCATCTTATTGTTGATATCTCCGAGGAGGCATAAGCAGTATCAAAAAAAATGAATGGAGGCAAGGAGTGTGACGGTGGGGACAAAGATGGAGGGCTGCCTGCAGTACAAGTCCCAGTCGGTTGGCAACGGCGGGTAGATCAAAATGGAGTTCTGTATATTAGGTAAGCATTCACGTGCATGTTGGAATAGGAAGTTATTCTGTTTAAGTAATTCTGCGAAAGGTGACTTGATAGCCAAAGTCCTCTTTCTCTAACCCTGGAATGCATTACCTCACCAGACATCAAAGCCTGGATAGAAGAACTTTTTTTAACCACCCTGAATCTTCCAACATCCCATTTCATTGGATGTCCCCAAGTTCTTGTGCTATGCAAGAGGAAGAAAAACCTTTCTCTATCCACTTTCTCCACACCAATTTTTTTTACATCTCCTCTTACTTGCCTTTTCTCTAAACTTAACACACACACACACACACACACGTCGTAATCATTCCTCATAGGGGAGTTTCTACTTTCCCTATGCAGGTGGAGGGAAATTATGTCAGAGCTGCTACCCCTTCCCCCACTGGCTGAGAAGCACTTCCACTGCATCCTGTGGCCTCTCATCTACGCTCCTGGGCAACATAAGATTAGATGCTAAGACAGGCCTAAAAAACTGTAGCTCAGAAGGATATTGCAGAATGTGAAATTCCATTCCATTCCATTCCCAGTTAAGCAAATTCTTCCTTGGAATTTCTCCATACACAGGCCCAACAAAACTGCTAATGCTTGAAAAGATGGAATAGATTAAGATATAATTTTCTCCCCTCCCCCATTTATCTATCTATCTATCATCTATCTAATCTGTCTGTCTATCTATCTATCTATCTATCTATCTATCATCTATCTATCTATCTATCTATCTATCTATCTATCATCTATTTCTACCTAATTTGTGTTTATCCAAGGTTTACTTTCTCCAGTAGTGGCTCCTTGTGTAAGAGCTTGAATTTCCATCAGCTGTATACAATCTAACCAACACATTTACTCAGAGGAGCAACCTCATTGCCCAGAAACACTTTAAAGACTCAGCATATTCCTATATCCCTAAAGAACTGTCTTCTAAGACCATTTCCATTCATTTCAGATAAACATCAGTTTCCCCAGCTGGGTTTGTGACTGTTTTTTTAGGCAGACCTATATCTATGAAAAGTCTGTTGCATAGTAGGACTTGGGTCCTGCTATCAATTTGGAATAAACTTGTCTTTAAAAAGCCTGTCTAAGCTTACACTTCTTCTTTTCTTCTTTATTTATTTGGAGGAAAACCTTTTACTACTTGAAATAGGAACTTCTGGAGATTGTAGGCTCTTTTAAACAGTACGAAATGTGAAGATAATCCTCTGTGTGTACTAGTTCCTCAATCCTTCTGTGCATTATATGTTATCCTGTGCATTATACATTAATAGACAAGCTGGTACCCTGCAACATCCAAGAGAACAATGGAGCAACTTTGAAATGCCTAGCCTTGAGTTCTTGTTAAAATGTAGGTTAGAGAAAAGTAAGTTTGATGTAAGTTTGAACAGAAATTACATTAACTTTTCTGTGGAAACTTTTGCAGACTAGTGAAGCTGTACTCTCTGTTTGTGTGAGCATGCGTGCATGCGTTCCAAACTGATACATCAATTGTATGTGAAGTATTTTCTAGCAATATTCATTAATGTGCATATTTTACATTTTTCTTATTCTTTCAGTCCTAGTGGGTCTTTATTGTCCTGTTTGGAACAGGTTAAAACGTATCTGCTGACTGATGGAACATGCAAGTGTGGTTTAGAATGTCCCCTCATCCTTCCCAAGGTAAAATCGGATAACTGTGAGCATGCTGAATGAAAAATGAATATATGTTGAACTAAATATATTGTTGTAAAATTTTAAAAGTCATTAATTAGAAACAAAACCGTTTTGAAAACAAGATTCATTACTTATTGGCGTGGTTCACATAATTAATCTAAACGGTTGTTTAAAGGTGAATGCTCAGTGTATTTATTTATTTATTTATTTAGTAGGCTAAGTAAGTAAATTTATTTGTATAAAACTCTTCATCCATAGATCTCAGGGCTGTTCACAATATAAAAGTAGGTCTCGCCCCATGGATCAGTTGCTGAAACTGAAAGTCCCTAACCCCCCCCACCCAGCCATCTTAAGTCCCTGCCTCTTCAGGGGTTTTTTCCAAGCAATCGGAGACTGTGTCTGTGTACAGCCAATGTCTCCTCTGTACTTTGCATTCCTCTTCTGGTTCAGGGAGACATTGGGTGAGGGGAGCTTGTCGCAGCAGGAAGGGGAGACACCCATGACTCTTCTCCAGCCTGACTTACCTCTGCCTCTTTGCTTCCCTCCTCCCCTGCTTTTCCCCTGCTTCAGCTTCTGCATCTGATTCTGGACTTCTCTCTGCCACAGACTCTCCCAGCTCACTAAGCCCTGTTACTGCCTCCACTTCTGGCACCTCCTCTTCCCAATCTTCTCCTTCTGACCACTCATAATTGTCCCACCATCACGCTCTGGGCTCTGGTTCCCCAGCTGACTCCTCCCATCATTCCTCTATATCCCAACCAGTCCATGATAACTCCACATTGCAACATTTGTGTTCTTATTACTGCCAGTGGTCTACAGTACACAAGATTTCTGTTTGTTTATTTATCTTTATCATTCTGTGATCTTCATCAACCAGATCACAGAGTGCGTTGCAGCATCTAATTAACATAATGACAAATTCAGAAATAATCAAACCATTAATAAATAACCAGTTGCATTTAAAAACAATGTGCTATACATCAAATCAATACTATACAGTAGAGTAGTGGACAGCAAAATTGTAGTGGCCTTGAAAACCACAATTTGTCCATTGCTTTCTTTTTCCTGCAGTGGTGCTCTTTCCTGTGTTTCCTCCCTAGTAGCAGTTTGTGTGAACTCTCTTAGAAATTCAGTTTGCCAGATATACAGTAGTAGATAAGGAAGAGTGTGCAATGACCCAAGGTAGAAGAATATATAGTAAGGCAGAATAAGCAAGGTGCCCTAAGGGAACTTATTTATTCACAAAATAAGATAAAGATATCTACAAAACGATAAAACAAGAAAATCTAGAAAGAATCACAACCATACTTTAAAACATACAAAAGTTAAGATACTAAAACAGATTAAAATTACATCAACTTTCTAAGCATCTGGGTAGGCTTGCCTAAAAAACATGTTTTTATCAGGCACCGCAAAAGAATACAGTGAAAGGTGCCTGCTTAATTTCAATGGGCAGGGAGTTCCAAAGAGCAGGTTGCTGCCACTAAATGGTTGAGTTCTTACAAATGTGGGATGGGTTTTATGTGGCACCTGTAGTAGTGCCAATTGAAGTGGTCGGGAGTGCATGGGAGGGAGGTGTACAGTAATCTCATAGGTAAACTGGTCCCAAGTTAAGGGCTTTATATGCTAACATTAAGATATTGAACTTGGTCTGGAAGCAACCAGTGCAGATCTCTGAGCACAGATGTTGTATTCTGACAAGGCCTTAGTCCTGTCAGCAGTTCTACACTGCAGTATTCTACACTGACAGCAGCTTCAGGATCAAGCATGAGTGAAGCCCCACCTAGAGCGCATTGCAGTAATCCGGTTGCCTTCTTTTGAATGACTCTTAAACTTGAATGAATGGAACATGGTCTGGTCTCCCAAATTGTATAGAATACTAGCACAGCTGAGGGGCTGCATCTCATGTAGGAATCTGTGACTGTCAAACAGCTATAACAAAGGTGGCATTTTTTCATCTCTGCCAAGCTAAGCAGTTGGCTCCTTATCTCTCTCGCCCTGACCTAGCCACTGTGATCCACGCGACGGTCACCTCCAGACTGGATTATTGTAACTCGCTCTACGTGGGGCTGCCCTTGAGACTGACCCAGAAACTCCAGCGGGTGCAGAATGCCGCAGTGAGACTCCTTATTGGGTCTTCGCTGTGAGATCACATTCATCCGGTACTATACCAGCTGCACTGGCTCCCGTTGGAGTACAGGATCAGGTTTAAGGTGCTGGTTTTAACCTCTAAAGCCCTATACCGCCTAGGACCCTCGTACCTATGGGACCGCCTCTCCTGGTATGTCCCACAGAGGAACTTACGGTCTGCAAATAAAAACATCCTGAAGGTCCCAGGCCACAGAGAGGTTAGGCTGGCCTCAACTAGAACCAGGGCTTTCTCGGCTGCGGTTCCAATCTGGTGGAACGCTCTGTCACAAGAGACTAGGGCCCTGCGGGACCTGACATCTTTCCGCAGGGCCTGCAAGACAGAGCTGTTCCACCAGGCCTTTGGCCAGGGCGCAGCCTGACTCCCTCCTCTGGCAATCTGCACAGAATTTTGCTTAATGGTTGCCATCAATTTGATTTTAATTAATTTTTATAATGAAATGTTTTTAGAATGTTGGATTATTTGATTGTTGTTAGCAGCCCTGAGCCCGGCTTCAGCTGGGGAGGGCGGGATATAAATAAATTATTATTATTATTATTATTATTATTATTATTATTATTATTATTATTATTAAATATCTGACAAAGCAGACTTGACAGCCACGTGGAGCAAGTTTCCCTTTAAATTCATATCATCCTGAATGAAGGAAATGACATTGAAAATGCTACAAAAATGGTGTCTAACTCCACTCTACTTTGCCCACATAAGTGCAGCCCCCCAATGAAAGAAGATGCCTTCACCCCTGTATGGCTCCCCTTTAACACATACGCAGCCCAACAAGACAACGACAAGAATCCGCCAACAGCATAGAAATCAGTCTGGCTAACCTGATTCAAAAACACCCACCCACCCCACTCACACATGAAAACAAAGCTCACCACAGCCAATCACAAACAACCACACCTTAATCCAACCCCAACCTCTCTCACCACGAAAGGAAGACAAGCAAATAGCAAAGAGAACCTGCACAAGCAACACTGACACAAAACCCCACACATACATTAAGTAAAATAGAAACATTGCCACCTGACCCTACTCCCACTCACCATCGCCCCCTCCACCTCTCCCCCCCTTTTCTTCTTAATCTAATACTAATGTCTCAACAAATGAAAGTGATCTGTAGAAAATGTAACTTGAAAAAAGAGACATTGCATATACTTTTGTAAACCAATAAATCTTTAATAAAAAAGTTTTTTTTTAAAGTGCTTCCCCCCCCCCCGCACCTGATGGTGGGGCTGTATGTCTCTGGGGGTCCCATCAGCAAATGTGCTGGGCCTATACAAAGGTGTACACGTTTTGGGAAGAGGTGCTCAGGGAAATGTTATCAAATTGGAGTTTTCATGAGATGATGTGGGGTAGTGGGATTTTTTTTTTAATGCAAGGTACCACAATTTGTACCAGCAGAACTTTGAGCAGAACTGTTAGTTCTCCAGTCGTCATCCACTACAAGGGCAGCTCAGAATAAGTGTGCCTCCACTGTATGTTGTGAATTTTGATTCCTCTAACATGCCCATTATATAATCAGATTTTGAAGAAAATGAGAGGTGCTTACTTTGGGGGGGGTAGTCTCTTAACCCCCAAAAAATCATAATATAGTGTTTCTGGCATTATTTTTAAGGTATTTAATTTTGATCCTGGAGTTGCTGTGACACAAAGGACAGCTGAAGATGTTAAAGCAGATGAAGATGTCACTAAGCTATGCATCCATAAAAGGAAAATTATTGCAGTGGCTACACTTCATAAGAGCATGGAAGCACCTCATCCTTCGTTGGTTCTAACTAGCCCTGGTGGTGGAACAAGTAAGTTTGGCTTTTCACAAGTGGGAGGAAGAAATTCAATGTTAATGTTCAGGCAAAAGTAATGTAATAGGGAGAATTAATCTTCAAAAGTTGTTTATTAAAAAAATAGATATGTTAAATCTTATGAGGTGATTTTAGAGGCCCATACGTCCTTTTTACATCTTGCAGAGTCATTCCACTTTACTCCACTAATCCTAAATCACACCCTCCTAGGTCCTGGATCATTTATCTTAGTGGAGCCATGGGTCACTGATGGAGTATGTGCTATGCGTGCAGAAGATCCCATGCTCCATCTCTGGTATTTAAAATTAAAAGGATCTCAGGTAGCTACTGTTCTGGAACATAGATTTCCTGGAGACTGAGAAGAGACTGCTAGCCAAGAGTAGACGGTTGGCATCCATCTGTCTCGGAAGACAATGGAGGCATGCACCTTTGGGGATGAAGTCAAACTGTTGGAAGTGGACAGGACTGGGTTTTTAAGCAGAGGTTGGATGGTCATCTGTCATGTATGTTGAGATTCCTGAATTGCAGAGAGTTGGACTAGATGACCCTCAGGATCCCTTCTAACTCTACAACTCTGTGATTCTACCCCAATGCAAAAGAGCTTAATATGTGTGTGTTTTCATAGATAGGTAGATCAGTGTGGAACTTCCATATCTTGGGGAAATGCTGACATTGTAGGCACACACCAAACCTGGCATAAAAATACAGCACCCTTAGCCAGCTGCACTCCACTGGTACCCACGCCTATGCAATTACCCATTTTGGGCCTTCCGTGTTCAGTGTCACTAGAGGGAATAAGTTCATGCCCTTCCAAACATTCCTATAGCTTAGTGCCACACAGCTTTCCTCCTTCAGTCATCCACATTGGCCTAGAACAAAGTTGGGGAAGTACAACCAGGTACTGAAGATCAATATCCTATCGCAGCAGGGGATATCCTAATTTTCCTTTTTAATAAATGGCTGTTTTGAAAGTTTTTTATTTCATTTATTTATTTCATTATATTTATATGCTGCCTTTCTGTCAAGGCACCCATGGTAGTTCATAAATATTAGAATAGGAAATGCTGCAAAATATTCTTGGGTCAGATTAGGAGCTGATGAAATGAAGTCCCTGCCCTGGGCATTTTTGCCTTCTCTTGGGGCAGATAGGTCTTAAGCAGCCCCAAGGCAACTCAGGAAACTGATAGTTGCATCAGGAGCTTATGGTTATGCAGCTGCTGGCCTGGATAAGGCATGGTAGGTCACATTTTGATAAAAGTACGTTGCCCTAAATTATTATTGAACAGAAACGGTGTTGGCTGGGACTGATGAGAGTTGTAGTCCAAAACATCTGGAAAGCACTAGTTTAGTGAAGACTGGCATAGGAATAAATGGCATAGGTTTCCTACCAGAATCCCTGGTGCAAGACCATGGCACATTACAGAATTTTGTGTTTAATGTACTTGGATGCAGTTCTGTCCAGAGGGGGGGAATTAGTCTCTTTTGTTATATTTCATTTCATTCCGCAATAGTAACTCTTCTCTCATATTTTTTATTTAGGTGCAACTCCAATAGTACCTTCACGAGCAGCAACTCCAAGATCAATGAGGAATAAATCACATGAAGGAATTACCAATTCTGTGATGCCAGAATGTAAAACTCCTTTCAAATTGATGATGGGGTCCTCAAATGCCATGGGAAGGCTATATGTGCAAGAGATGACTGCAAACCAACAACAAGAACTTCATTCTGTCTATCCCAGGCAGAGATTGGGCAGTAATGAACATGGACAGAAATCTCCGTATCGTGGCGGCCATGGAGGAATGCCTAGTCCAGCTTCATCAGGATCACAAATATATGGAGATGGTTCCATCTCTCCAAGGACAGACCCTCTTGGAAGTCCAGATATTTTCACGAGGAATAATTCCAGTTTTCATGGAGCACCCAACTCTAGTCCTGTTCACATGAACAGAACTCCTCTGTCCCCACCTTCAGTAATGCTACATGGTTCTCCTGTGCAGTCATCTTGTGCAATGGCTGGAAGGACTAATATACCTCTTTCCCCAACCCTGACCACAAAAAGTCCAGTAATGAAAAAACCCATGTGTAATTTTTCAGCTAGTATGGAAATGCCACGAGCAATGTTTCACCACAAACCACCTCAAGGCCCTCCTCCACCTCCTCCACCACCACCACCTTCCTGTGCTCTTCAGAAAAAGCCATTAACTTCGGAGAAGGATCCGCTTGGCATTCTTGACCCCATTCCTAGCAAACCGGTGAATCAGAATCCTGTTATCATTAATCCAAGTACTTATCACTCAAATGTTCACTCTCAGGTACCTGTGATGAATGTAAGCATGCCTCCAGCCGTCGTCCCTCTGCCAAGTAATCTCCCTTTGCCAACTGTAAAGCCTGGTCACACAAACCATGGGAGTCATGTGCAAAGAGTTCAGCATGCTGCTTCAACCTCCCTCTCACCCTCCCCAGTAACATCACCGGTTCATATGATGGGATCTGGAATTGGAAGGATTGAGGCTTCGCCCCAAAGATCACGCTCATCTTCCACATCATCTGATCATGGAAATTTCATGATGCCTCCAGTAGGACCACAGTCATCTTGTAGTAATATTAAAGTTCCTCCTCGATCACCAAGGTCAACAATAGGGTCTCCTAGGCCATCCATGCCATCAAGTCCTTCTACAAAGACTGATGGACTCCATCAGTATAAGGATATCCCTAACCCATTGATTGCTGGAATGAGTAATGTATTGAATCCTCCAAACAATGCAGTTTTTCCATCTGCATCTGCTGGAAGTGGGCCCATGAAAAGTCAGCCTGGCTTGCTGGGAATGCCTTTAAATCAGATCTTGAACCAGCACAATGCTGCCTCCTTTCCAGCTAGTAGTTTACTCTCAGCAGCAGCCAAAGCACAGCTAGCAAATCAAAATAAACTTGCTGGTAACAATAGCAACAGCAGTAGCAATTCTGGAACTGTTGCCAGTGGTGGCAACAATGATGGACATAGCACTTTAAACACCATGTTTCCTCCTACTGCTAACATGCTTCTACCATCAAGTGAAGGGCAAAGTGGTCGAGCAGCACTACGAGATAAGCTTATGTCTCAACAAAAAGACCCTTTGAGGAAAAGAAAACCACCAAACACTACCGTGTTGAGTTTGCTTAGGCAGTCTCAGTTGGATAGTTCTGGAGTTCCTAAATCTGGGCCTGACTTGATAAGAAAACAGAATCAAGGTTCATTTCCCATTACGTCTATGTCCCAGTTACTTCAATCCATGAGCTGTCAAAGTTCTCATATGAGCAGCAATAGTACTTCTGGTTGTGGGAGCTCAAATACTGTTTTGCCTTGCTCTGCTAACCAGCTGCATTTTACAGACACTAATATGAACTCTGGCACTATTCATAATTCACTGGCACAAGATTTACCTTTAAGAGGAGAAAGTATGCACTGCCAGAATTCAAACACTAACTTTGGCCATGGTACTAGTCCTGGCCCAAACCACCATCTTGCAGGCTTAATAAATCAGATGCAAGCTAGTGGAAATTGTGGGGTGCTCAGTCAACCTGGAATGACTTTAGGAAACTCACTACATCTGAACCCAACTCAGCCACGAATCCAAGCACCCTCCAATCAAGTGATACCAAACAGCATTGTGAGCAGTTGCAGTCAAACAAGTCCTGAAGCAGGTATGTTTCCTTTAAAAGCTGGTATCTAAAAAATTTGAATGATCGTTTCAGTGTCTTTTTACGTCTATATTTCATTGGAAATGGAAAGTTTCTATTTTGAGATGCAATTTATTTATGTATTCATGCTTCTACCAACCTTTTCCCCAATGAAAGCAAGAACAGCATCTTATAGCTTGGTTATAAATACTGTTTCCTTTTAAACGTCTTTGGACATTGCTTAGATATGGCTGGTTTTTCTCGTATAGTTATGTATTTTATAGTGATAGATAGATGGTTCAGAAGGGTCAAGGATGTTAAGATAATTAGCTAACACAACGGCCCACTTTGCATATAACTCTAAGCCAAAACAAAATAGGTGGGCTCCCACAGAGGAGGCAAACCATAAGCCAGAACGTAAGGTTTGTCCTGTGGTTTGCAGCTCATGATTTGGAAGAGCTGAACCATGAGTCCAGGTTTGGAACCAGGTGTGCAGAAAAATATTGGTTAGGAGGAGAGGAGAGATGAGACGACGCCTGATAGACTGAACATGCTCAGAGGCCTCCTACATCACTTGAATAGAATTTGCCTGATCCAACCCATAGCAGTTTTAGTAGCCTGAGGGAGGGGAGAAGGATCAGAGAGGGGAAGAGATCTGTATCCCTTAAAAAAAGGATTATGGAGATAATTTGGAGGGAAATTATGAAAAAGTGTACTTTTTTTCATTCCTCACTCACCACCCTTCTTCAGACCCCGAAACCGCACTGCAGAGTGTGTTCTAGACTAGAGTAAGTAATGAGCGTTGGGATTAAGAAGAACGTGCTGGATCATCTAGCCCAGCCCAGCATCCTCTTTTCTGGGTGGCCAACCAGATGGCTATGAGAAGCACACAAGCTTTGATTCTCAGCTGCTGATATTCAGACTCACAATACCTCTAAAAGTGGAGGTAGAACATAGCCATTAGGGTTACACCACAGTGTTTGGTTACAGGTCCACACTGCTTGTTTCCTATTTGCCAACCATCAAAAATATCAGCTACGTTTAGCATATAGCAGCCTTATTTAAATGCTGGATTTTATTCAATGCAAGCTTCTTAAATACACCAGTTTTGTGTGCTAAGTTGAGTCTTTTATTGTGGATTGGCTTAGGCACCTGTATCTAGACCTATTAGAACTTCTGCACTGGTAGAACTGGTTCAGACCAATGAATTTGATGAATTTAAATTGTTATTAAAGTTTAGGTTTGATAAGCCTATTTGAATAATTTATTTGGGGAGTGTAAATCATTTTATTTTATTTTTGTCTATGGCTTTAAAAATTCTGGAAACTTTACTAATGCCCAAACAAAGCTCTAGAAATCACATTTCTAACAACCCATAATGAGAAATTCTGTATTTTCTCCTTTTGACGAAGCCAGCAGGTTGCATCACAGTGTCTTATCTACAAATAAGCACACTTTTTGTTAGCCTCTTTGCATACTATTTTTGATTTCATAATAGGATTTTTGAGCAAGATGCTTCTGACAAGTGTGGCTAAACTAATCTTTGGAAGGATACTTATCTATATTTTTTCCCTTTCAGATCGGTAGTTGAAAAATAAAATAGCTCAGGCCAGGAAATGGAAGTTCTTTTTCTAATATATTCTACACACATTTTGTTTGCTTTTGGCCTGTCATATGCTTGCTTAGGGAGACAAATCTGGAAAGCTAAAACCAAGTTATATAAATAGTAGTTGTGTTTAATACTGAAGCATTGAAGTGCAGTTTGATAACATTGTGCTGGCTAGATTGTAGATCAGGAGGGGGTTGCATTGGACCCTAAATTATGTAATCTCCGCAGGCACTAGTTTCTAGAGGCATGTTACCCATAGGCTTGTTACTATTGACTCACAAAATTCCATGATTAGGAAAAACTACTAAAGCTTTAATATCAGCCATATGAATTTCAGAGTCTGGAAGGGTTTTTCTGAAGAATCCAGAAACTGTAGTCTGAAGAAACCTTATCTAAGAACTAGCATCTCCTAAAATAAAGTGTGGTACTAAATGATGTTCATTCACTTCTGCGATACCTTTTGTTTTTGATTATGAGATGAAGCTAATTTCATGGGGAGGTGGGGCTTCTGACTTATAAAACCCTATTGTTTATATTATAAATACAACTGAAGACAGCATTCTGCCAGAGGTAAAGCTGGCTGCACACATCAAAGGAATTTATGAATCAGCTCTGTGTCAAAGACCTTCAAATCACCTAAAGTAGACAGATGTGTTCTCTTCTGTGCCAGATTCTGGACACTGGGTTATTACTTCTAGAGGCCCCTTATTGTTGGGTATGATGCAGTGGTTTGTATAAATTGCCTAACTACAGTTATTAAAAAAATAAAAATCCAGTGATGATGTCCACTGATAGAAGGCTCTTTGATCCAGCAGGCTTCATTAAGCTGAAAGGAACAGGTGAATTTTGTGAATTGCCCCTTGCTCCTGCAGTCCCCCAAGCTACCTACCACACAAGGCCCCCATTCCACCTGAGCAGATTTATGGAGTGGGGGGGACCGTGGAGGAAAGTGGGGCAGCGAAATTGCCTCACCCCATTTTGCTAACTGAAGTTTCCACTGGATCAAAAGAGCCATCAGCAGAGATACACAATTGGTATTCTACGAAAACCTATAATACCAACAGAAGTGAAAGATGACATAAGTGCATAAGATGCAGCAGTCATATCTGTCTGGCACTGGAAGAGACCAGAGTGAAACACTCTTGCAGTGAAATGCAGGCAGGAAGAACTGTCTATAATTGTGACGCTACTGACATAATCTGGTTCGTACCATTAGATAGAAAAGTTAAGCTATCACCTGATTGCCTTACAATTGCCAACAGGTTCTTCCTTGCTTGTGGGTGATGCCTGAATGATTCTGCATCCTCACCAGTGTAACATCTGATAAGGAATATATGAGCACAATTTGTTAATTACTATTAATTCAGTTTGCATACTGCCCTTCATCTGTAGATCTTGAGGCACTTTACAATATAAAAATGCAAGATAAAAACACAAAATACATAATAAAAACAAGAACAAAAAACCCACAAACCTATAAACTCGCCTCCCACAAAGGGTATAGGATTTTAATCAGCCAAAGGCCCAGTTGACAATGAACATTTTTGCCTGGCGCCTAAAGGTATGTAATGAAGACACCAGCCTCCTTGCAAATGTATGGATGGGCACAGCTGTAGCACCACTTACATTGTAAGCATACAAGAAGAGTTAAAATATTTGCACTCTTCCCACCATGCACACTGAGAGCCCGTTGCAGAAAGAATGAGAAACAGCCCATAGTTGCCCTTGAAGAAGTACAGAGGTACATCCATAATCTTTAAAAAGAATTAAAGAAAGCTACCTAGCTGTCATATTAGGAAGAACACTTAAGTTTGGGGGAGCGCAATAAAGCGGTGTCAAACTTCTTCCTTTTTTTGACAAAGCATTTAAGCCATAAAAGGTTAATGGCAAGAGGAAACTAAATCTAAAACAAAAAGGAGGAGACTTGGGTGTGAGAAGACCGTTCCTGCACCACTTCTTGACTAAGCCCTGCAGGCAAATGTTTTGAGGATTTCTGGCCAGAGATAGGGAGAGTTAGCAAAAACTATTGGTGAATTCTGGTGATGCCAGGGAACCATCATATCTGACTCTTGACAGGTGACACATAAATAAGATGGCAATTTGTCATATGGGAGTTGTAAAGGTAAAGGGACCCCTGACTGTTAAGTCCAGTCATGACCGACTCTGGGGTTGCGGCACTCATCTCACTTTATTGGCTGAGGGAGCTGGGTCATGTGGCCAGCATGACTAAGCCGCTTCTGGCGAACCACAGCAGCGCACGGAAATGCCGTTTACCTTCCTGCTGGAGTGGTACCTATTTATCTACTTACACTTTGCTGTGCTTTCAAACTGCTAGGTTGGCAGGAGCAGGGACCAAGCAACGGGAGCTCACCCCGTCGCGGAGATTTGAACCGCCGACCTTCTGATCGGCAAGCCCTAGGCTCTGTGGTTTAACCCACAGCACCACCCGCAATTAAAAAAACCCAACAACTATTAGTAAACAAAAGCCCTCATAATGATAAGTTGTAAGTTGGTACTTTACCAAGAATTTAAAAGCAAAAAGCAGCATCTTCTTGATGCATTTTGAGCGGGATAACCTTTGCTGAAAGGTAAGGACAGGGTGCTGACCAGTAGCGGAGAGGAGACTGTAGTGTCACACAGTACCTTGTTTGAAGGTGACACTTGAAAACTGAACAGTGACATAAAACATGTTTTTAAATGCTAACTACAGGGAATTTATAGTAATCTAAGCTATGCTGACTCAAAAAGAAAGGTCTTTTATAGAGTGTGTGTGTGTGTGTGTGTGTGTGTGTGTGCGAGAGAGAGAGAGAGAGAGAGAGAGAGAGAGAGAGAGAGAGAGAGATATTATGTGGTTAGAAACACACAGCCTTCCACAGAAGACAGCATACCAAGAGAAGATAGCTTTACTAGGGCTGCTATACACCAGGAATTTCCGGGACATTGCTGGGACCTGTCCATCGAAAATGACGTCCAGGCAGTATTTTTGAAAAGCAGCCAGAATGTCTGTGAAAACCTGGATGTGGGGCAGCCCATATCAGCCCATATTATTTTTTTGGCGATTTTGCCAAAAAAAGGTGGGAAGCTCAACAACTTTGCCCCCTCCCCCCCAAAAAACCTCAACCCAACACAGTGAAATAAATCAAAACAGACATGATTGCAGGATTCTGACGTGTTGTTAGAAATTGCTCTTGGCCAGTATTTATAGACCAGAAGGTAAACATTTTCAACTTTGTAGAAATGCTTTTAAAATGTAATTTTAGCTTTTATATTGTGATGACATTAAGTTTTGCAAAGAACCCAGTCCTATATTCCTGCATCAGCATTCACTTTTTAATTTATTGTGGCATATAGAAATATGATGGGTATTTAATTGGCAATAACTCATACATATTTATTTCAGTACAACTAGGCTACT